GAAACACAAAGGAACTAACCTAGACGTTTGATAAGTAATATACAGTATTCGTGTCCGTGTTATATCAGATATACAATCACTCGGCTACGCCTCGTGGTTGTATATCTGATACGACACGGCCACTCATACTGTATATATTACATAAAGGGATGAGTAAGTACCTACTAGAAAAAAGGAAAACAAAACAAAGTAGTAAAGAAACATTTTAGAAGTCTGACCAGACAAGAAAATAAATAAATGAAAGGATAGATGGGAAGAAATGGAAGGATGGATGAATTTAAAGATGGATCAGGATGAAAGACTCAGTTCACAATCTGATCTCGTTATAATAATAAGGATTTTAAAAACATTATTTCGTACCTTTGGCATTTCTCAAAGAATGTACAAATCTCAGTATTGAATGCATCCAACTGAATCAGTCTATGACAAAACCAAATTTATTCTGTCAAAATTCAAAATCATTAATAAATTAAAGTACAGAGTTACAAATGAATATACAATTTACAAATACATATGATTGCATCATTTTAATACTAAAAATGCTTCGTGAATTGCAATTCTTATTTTAATCTGTATTTCTCTGACTGAGAATAGTAAACAATATTGGACAATCGCTTATTAAATGGACAAGGGAAAGTGTGCAATGCATTCTGGTAGTGATAGTAAATGGTGCTATAAGCAAATCCCTTAGTATTTCTATATAATATATTTTTACTCACAAACTAATAAACTCTTTGATGTCTTCATGTGCTTGTTTTTCTACAGTAACTTTTACATTCTTTCGACAAAATGAGATAAATAATATATTATAATTTAAAGCATTGCACATTATCCATCAGGTTTAAGGATTCTTTTACATAACCCAAACCTAGCTCTGTAGAAATAAATGGAACTCATATAAATGCAATTGTTAACATCACCTTGAGCAAACACTCCAATTATTATTATCATCATCACTAATATCATCTCCACCACCTCTTCCCCATCATATATGACAAAAAAACACCTTGATTGTCCATTTTTGCCATACTACTACTACTACACCCACCATCACCACGACCATCACCAGAATCATCATCTACTCATCTTCATCAATATTATGTAGATATCATCACCATCACCATTATCATCATGATCACAGTAATCTGAATCCACATCCACAATCATCACAATATATATTACATCGCTAATCAAAAAAAAAAAATGTTGGCATCTAGATATATTTCAAGTCAAATGATTCTTAACCAATCAGAAGTGTTATTGTTACCTTCCTGGAATATTTCCAAGTACCCACAGTTTTTTATTATTAGCCTGCGTAGTAGTGCTTTGGGGAGAGGGAGGGCCTATTCCCCCTCCCCCTCCCCCTCCCTCTCCCCAAATCACCACTACGCAGACTAGATTATTAGCACTGTAATAGTGTACACATTTGTTTACCAAGTCATTGTCATCAGCCTTCTTCTTGATGGTGCCATACTTTAGTTTCTTTTCCTTTTGTCCTTGTGCACCCCATTGCTTTACTCCAGATATGATCATCAACAGGCTGACGTATGCCAAAGGTAAGATTACAAAATAAACTGAAACCAACAGATAAATACCAGTGATAATAAATTCCAATGAATGGAGTTTTTGAAATTTAATTATTCAGTTTTTTCAAACATCCAAGATGCTGAGAGAACACCAGAGATGGTTTCCAGCTTCTCAAATGTTCTCTCAACGTCCTATAGTCCTATTCCTATGAACGTTCCAATTCAGAGCTTCTGCACAAAAACAAAAAAAAGACGCGAGCATTATATACAATGTATTTTATTCATATCTAATGATATGAATGTTCTTTTTGTGTGTGTGGAGATATCCTAGTCCCACATATATCATCTACTGTATTTATTGTATTTATGTTTTTTTAACGTATCAAATGAATAATGCATTATATACATCAAACATAGATACTCTCATCTTGAGTGACATTTCAACCAGTCAGATCAAGCATTAGAACTTGTTTATTCCATAAAGTCAGTTTATGGTTAAGAAACTCATTAATAATTGGCTCTGTCACACATCGCAAACATGTGTATGGTTGCACATAAGCATGTATATTTATAAAGGTTGGCTCATGATCACTCAGGCCTGCTCCTCAATAACAAAATGCACAATTGGTTCAAAAGGGTTTCCACATGTTTCAAGACTTCCCGGGGGGTACTCTTGCCTGTTTAGGGTAGGGATGTGCCACTGAGCCCTCTGAACCCTGACCCTGTTCCAGAGTAAAATTCTTACCCTGTTCCAGAGCAAGCTCGCTGAAAACCATACACTGTTCCGGTATTGCGAAAATAGATACCCTGTTCCAGAGAGGAGAGAGCGTAATTTCATATGCCCTGTTCCAGAGCAAGCGCAATATACCCTGTTCAAGAGTAGAATGGCTGAAAACCATACCCTGTTTGGCAGCATGTACCCGTATAGCGAATATAGGTTAGTCCCCCCCCCCCCTGGGCAAGACTTACTAAAGTAAGATTATGAAAATCAAATCTTCAAACCTCAAAAGTAAGAAAAATTGCTTGAGTTTGACTCAATACCTACTTGGAGACATGACTGCTATAAAACAATTTGTTGACATCCAAAACAAAGATACATAGAAGGATTTCCAACTAGGATATTAAAAAAGATATGAAAACACAGTCAGAACAGACCTTTTTAGCTTTGTATGGAAATTGCCCATTTCAGATCACATGACATTCCCTTGAGAAATGTTCTTTTATGACGTGCTAAAATATTGACATAGAATCAACTCCCAAGAGTGGCATCACATGATCTGAAATGTGCACAATGAACAACGAAGCTGAATAGGTCTATTTTTTTTATTATCTCCAGGGATACAAATGCATGAGAGACATTTTATAGACCAGTTTTAGCATCCTTGACAACGATTGTCAAGAAAGGATTCACTAGAGGTCCAGTTTAAAACAAACCATAGACAGTATGGTGTGACGTGATAGCAACAAATAAACACTCAACATGCACACATAAAATGGGAACTGAGTTGAAAAAATGATAAATTTTTCTTTGATGGCCAGGAATTGGGTCACAGTACTGATAGGCAATCAAAAATGCAATTCTGACAAAATTTTGGTGGTTGCGTGCGTGAAGGGGGGGGGGGAGAGAGTAAGTGAGGAGAGGAATGGTCATGACCAAAAGAGAAACCATGATAGCAATCCAAACCTATACCCATCGTATATAAGTAATAAGATGTTCAGCCATTTACCTAACTATATTAAAAATAGTGTGGTAGAATCTGATCCACGGCATAATCAAAAGCCGAATTTTTCTTTGGTTGTGCACGAAGTCTCCAATATCGAACTTCCCCACGCCATTGTTGTTTTGGTTTGCCTGGTCTTCCCTCAACAGTCCATGACTTTGTTCTGTATTGTCTGTTGTATCGTCTTTTGCTTCACACATAGTGATAATAATAACAGTAGAATTTCAGTATCCAATATTGTAGAGCTTTGTCAAATTTCAAGCTTAGAACTTTGCGTCCATCTTGTTTCAGTTTTGAATTCATTTGGAGGCCATTTTGAACTATTTCACGAAAGAGAACTTCTAGAACTAAAATATATAAACTACGTATTGCTTTAAGAAATGAGTAAAAAGCATTCAACCGTTCGCTCCCTGTGTCGCGATATTTTTGGCAATTTTAGACTAGAGGCAACAGAGGGCATTGTGGGATTTTCACGAACACGACACGCACTTTGTACTTTGGTTCTTCACACCTCACCTCTTCACACCCTTTTAAACGAAAATGATTCTTTCTTTTTTTCTATCTTTTAGTTTTTTATGTCAGTCCACTGTGCTTTTATTTTTTTCTCTTTTTGTGTTGCTGCAAATGCCTTACGATATATCTCTCATGAACTCAGTTTGGGATGCCTGTGGTGACGCGCACCCATGATTCATAAGATATGTTACTGACTGGCCCTTCCCAGGATTCCTCGTAAGATCAACAATATTATTATAGTATCCCTCTTACCAAGTAGACCATATTGCATTGGACGACCAAGTCAGTTATCAATCAAACGTCAGTATCAGCTATCAGCCATGGTCATGAACGATATTGACAGACTTGACAGGCATCACGAGTATTATGCGATTAATACTCAAGCAAGCTCACTTATATACTTTAACACAGTTTTTTAGGGACGAATCAAAAGTGAAAGCAAAACTTTTATATCAAGAAAATAACACAAACATTGGTGAAATTTTATTGAAAAAATCAAATATGATGTTTCATTGTATTTTTGCCATTACCATCACAGAAATATCCCTTAACTTTAGTGAGTAGTTAACACAAACAAACGAAAAATTCAACGATTTATTACTAATAGCAATAGAGCTGTTGCAGATCGTCGATGCGATATCAGATAACAGTCACGTGATCGCATGAATAGTCCCGTGTTCATCACACGGTTATTTCTTGGGCGACGCGAATGAAATTTCACTTATCTTATTTAGCAATAAGTTTCAAGTAAATGGGGAAGTCTTTAGTTTCCGGGGAAACTTCATGCATCTTATTTAGTTTAATATTTGTTTCTTATCTATAAACTGCCAATTCTCAATCTGTGTACCCGAACTGCTCAGTACAGAAGACAACAATGTATAAAATTTTTATTCCTAAATGATTTGATTGTAGAATATGTTCAATTCGCTTCAATGAAATTGCAAGTTGGCAACTTTTGTTTCAAACCTAATTTAGTTTTTATTATTAATTAATCTGCAAGGGATTTTAGATTTAGCAAAGATGACTGATTTATAATGATAGATTCAGCTGAAGTACTGTATGCAAGACCTTGTTGGTCATCCCGGAAACTAGAAAACAATAATCTTCAACATGTACAACTCTAGCTATTTGAGAGCTGTTTTAAGGAGATTTTGGATTTTCGATGACTTCTTTTCCCGTTTATATATATTGAGATAACAATAATAAACGTGATGATTTATTTATTATTTTACTGGTACTGCCGGAAGTGATAACTGAAATTGAAAGAGGAAAAATAATTATAGCGAAATATAATGATTCATAGTTATGTTGGACTAGTTTGTTTTTCTTCTGAGAACTTTTGCAATTGTTTATATATCTGCGCGGTTATGCGGAAGGATCCCCTAGCCAATCATCAGTGGTCGAAACCAACAAGTCGCTGCATGAAAATGAAAGTAAATTCGTTCACAAACTACGTATTTTTAAATAAGGTAGAAACAAAGTATATAGTTTCCTTGCAACTGGAAGTGCCGTCATTCGGGACCAAGTCTTCGAAGAGTCAACAACCGAGGCAAGATAGTGCAGATGATATATAGCGGCTATCATCGCGTACAGTCCCGAGTACAAGTAGCCTCGTAAGTGAAAACTTTTTTTTTGAAGAATTATATTTTCTAATCTGAAGATCGTAAACTATTTTAATGATTTAATTTTGTAGGGATTCTAAAGACGACATTGCTTTGGAAAGAAGTCAAGAGCGATCAATGTCAGGACAAGCAAGGGCAAGAAAGTGAAAGTGAAAGTTAGGCTAATCTTTTAAACTTCGCAGTTTTCCAAAAGCAAGAAGCATGCATGGAGAAGATGAAGATTTGGAATCACTTGAGTATAGCAGTGCTGGTTACGAGAAACAGCTACCAAGAATCAGCAAGCCTGATATGTTTATGAACACAGCGCTATGGATTGAGATTGAAGATTCTCCGGAAGGCGAGTCCCTTAAGCAAGGCAATCCAGTACGAGCATGCAGAGACAGGGGAACGCCCGCTAAAGCCAGTGAAGAAATATCACAAAGCTGGCGCAGTTGTTGTGCTACCAAACGACAGGGCCTTGTCCGTAGACTGCAGTCATAGAGGCATCCATGCAGCCGTTAGCGCGCTGAACAAGTTTGGTCAAGAGAGGGCTGAAGGTTGCCAAGTGTACCTGTCAAGAAGACCATGTTCTTTTTGTGCCAAACTACTCGTTCAATGTGAGGTGGCTAAAGTGTTTTATCTTCCCATAGAACCAGAACTGAATGACAAAGAAGATGTCCGTAAAGTGGATAGGCTCTTCAAGGTACGTAGTAAAATAAGATACTTGAACTTATAAACTATAGAATAAGGTAACTTGCAATTGCAACTTCGATGTTTGCCTAGCGTATACAGCATTCACGCATTAAATAAAATTAATCAGTTAAGATTATCTGCACAATTCAAAAAGCATAAAATGCAAAATGGCCATTAATGAAATATAGAAATAAAACGAGAAACTAAAATTTTGAGCCCAAGAAAAAGATTGAGCTTTTTCTAATCGGAAATTTGAGATCCACAAAAAAGAAGTTCAAAGTAAATATTTTCGCTTTCTTTTCCAGGCTTCATCGACAGGCCTCTCTGTTTATATACCAAAAGTCAGTGACACTATCCTCAAAGCTCAGAGGAAAAGGCATTCTCCGTTTCTAAAGAATCCACGAAACGACTTAGAGATAATAGCATACAGAGACCTTCTGAAAAAAGAGTACTGGAGTACTGATTGGATCAATAATGCAAGCACAGTCTTGGAATGGCCAGCATTTAAAGACCCGAACATGCAAAAGCAAACCAATGAAGACATGGAAAATTTGCTGGAGTGGATCGCAACAGCAACCAAAGGAGACGTTCCAGACTATGTGAAGTTCTTAGAAATAGATCCACATTCTTCCCCTTTAACAGAGAAGAAAAGCAAGGAACCGAAAGGTGCAGAAGAGACAACTGATGGCATAGTTAACTATGATGAGAGCAAAGCTATACGAACTGTCTCAACTGTCTTACCTGATCCAACTGTAGGTGATAGCGCTTGGCAAAAGCACGCCCTGCATATGTGCAGGATGGCACAAATGCTATCACAAAGGAGCGACGACCCAACCGCCCCCGTTGGATGTGTCCTGATGATGCACAACCAAGTTACAGCCATTGGGTGGAATGGATTCCCAGCCAAGGCGCTATACGGAGAATTCCCAAGGGCCTCAGACAACGACGACTCGAGGGAGAAGAAAGAAYCCTACGTTATCCATGCAGAACAAAACGCCTTGCTGACGAGAAACGTGAAAAATATGGATCACGAGTCATCAGTTCTCTACAGCAACAAGATCCCATGCGGAGAGTGCGTTCCCATGCTGATTCAGGCTGGAGTGAAAAATGTAGTCGTACCTCAAGAGTCTAGGCGTGATGTTGCAGAAAACGAGGTTTTTACTGAAGCCATAACGTCAAAAATGTTAAAGGGATTCTGGCCGAGCAGGGAGTAAAGTTTGAACCATAAACCACACAGGTATATTCATGACCTGAAATGTAGATAGGCCAGGAATATTCCGCGCTTTCGAGTTAGTCTGAGCATATTTTGGGCTTCGTTTTGCAAGTGAAAAATATTCAGAAAGTTAAGCGAAGTCTGTTTACAAGTAATCGCCGTAGCTAGTGCTTCGTCTCTGTGGGGCGGATCCCGTAGAGAACTCGACGGATGACGGAATCCTTGACTTGAGCTCCCTGTGTTCCACGTTACAAGTCTCGATAACCACGACAGACCACGTTTAATTCAGTATTTAATAAAATCAAACAAATTAAACCACAATAAAGTAAAAAAAAACTTATTCTTACAAATTCTTAAAAAGATATGCTTCAAGCAACTTGGAATTTGTTTAGTGTCAATCATTACAATTATTATCTTATTCACGAAAATTATGAAATTCATATTTAATTCAGCAGCACAAAACTTGCAAGTTGTTACATTTGGATACAAGAACTAATTTGCTCATGAATGAGTTTCAGTTATCAAGAAATTTATGGATATATACATTTAAGGGTAAATTATTGCATTCAACATTTGTAAGGCATCACTTTATAGTTTAGTTTTAAGAATCAAATTGGAGGGATAACAGTCTGACTATTTTAACATGAACAATATAAAAACCTCTATGTTAAAAAATTAAGCTAGTGACCAGCTGAGGAAAACTGGCAGCTTTTCTTAGCATAAATAGAGGATATTACATGGGCGCGCAGAGATACGAATTTTATCTTCGAGTGTTGAAAAGATCTCTCACAAGTGAGCACAGTGAACGAGTGAGAGATTTTCAACACGAGAAGATAAATTTCGTATCTCCAAGTCTCCATGTAATATTCTGTTTATTATATAATTATCCATAAAATCAACTAAATAAGCTTTTTATTATTATAAAAAGTTTTTATTTATAAACTAATAGCTAAAATACACATAACGATATTTTCACATGTGAAATAACATGTTATTTTCACATGTGAAAATATCAGTTTTTCGAAAAGGAGAAATATAGGTATTTTATGGATAATTATTATATGATAATAATTATTATTATTTTCCAAAATCAGGACATATTTCAGATTTTTAGCAAAGCTAATTCTAAGCTTATGGCTTATTTTGGTTCTTGGAAAATGATCATGCAGATTCAGTTCTGTCTCCATTACAACTTGAATAAGTCAAATCATTATTTAATATATGATATTTATGTATTAATTATAATTGTAAATTTATGTTGAATTTTCATATACAGTAATTTTGTTGCACAATAAAAGCAAAATTTAACAATTATCACTTGTTGTTGAAATAATTCCTTATAAATGAAAATAAAATCCTAGTATATTAAATGACATGTTCACTTATGGAAAGCCAAAAGATTAATCAAGAAAGCTGTCGGCTATGTTCACGCATCAATACTTCTGGCTATATCACAAGCATTTTCTTAAAATGAAGAGAGATATAACTTAGTTGTTTTGTCAAATACATCAAAGATGAACAAATTAAAGAAAAATGTGGACATTTTTCATATGTATCTTTGAATGATATTTACTGGAAATCCTTTCACTTTCCTTTTCTCAAAGCAAGCCTTGATGTGCCCTGGCTTGCAGGTGATAATATTTCCTAGAAATATGAGATATTATATAAATACACTACATAAAAAATATTTTTTCATTTTTCTTTGAAAAAAAAAAATGTTGACATTTCCATTCTTCAAATTTCTAGGAAATATTATCACCTGCAAGCCAGGGCACGTCAAGGCTTGCTTTGAGAAAAGGAAAGTGAAAGGATTTCCAGTCAATGTCATTCAAAAATACATATTATGTTTGATGGTAAACATTACCAAATACGGTTCTAACTTTAAAGACAATTCATTTTGTCATCTTTATTTTGGACCCATACTAATACTTGCATTTCTTTTTTTTTTTAATTATCAGAAAAAAAAATTAATAGTCAAATTTCTCATAGCAATATAGGAGTACCCAGGCATTTTTAATGAATGCCATTAGGGGTAAATAAGGGTAAAATAAGGGGTAAATCTCAGAGCACAAAATTAACATTCTTAAATTCACAAAATGCGGGTGAAATTTTGTATTTTTGAAGGACTGAAGTGTTTAAAACCTGCATCGAGTAACATCAAGCAATACCATAATATTTGCAAAATTTGCTAGATTATGATTTTTGGCCAACTTTAGCAGGACCTGTGTGACAATATCATCATAACTAACTGTTAATTTTTATATCTGTAAACTTTAGCATAGTTTTCATTTCTTCATGATCTGAATGACATCATCATTGTTCATAATATGGTTGATTCCTACTCGTTGTGGGCTGTACTTTGTGCTGGTCCCCCAGACTAAGGCATATTTAAAGTTATCCACTAGAGTCCTGTGGATTCTGTGACAAACATGTTCCACTGTGCAACCACGACGTAGAATCAGACCTCCTTGAAAATCTGGAGGCTCACCTCTTCTTTTTGTGTACACACGGATCAATGCAAGGTAATCCCATATTTCCTCTAGTAAGTAGTCCAAGTTGAGCTCATATTCACAACTTACTACAACTGAATCAGGTAAACGAGCCAGACGATCAACCTCCTCAAGAGAGATACAATCAATCTTGTTATAGACATATACACATGGGATATACTTCCTGTTATCACTGATGACATCAATCAACTCATCAGCAGTATAATCCTCTCTAAATAGCACCTCAGCATGGAAGATCTTGTACTCATGCAAAATCATCATAACCATTTTCTCATCAACGTGTGTCACTCTACAGGTAGAATTGAATTTAATCCCTCCACTTTTCTTGATCTTAAAATAAATATCTGGCCTCTTGGTGTTTAGTCGTATTCCACAGCTCTCCAACTCTTTTTCAAGGAGGCCTCTCTGGACTTCGCCCTTGGATGCGTCAAGCATTATAAGCACTAGATCCGCTGTACGCCCCACTGCTATGACCTGCCTACCACGGCCTTTCCCCTGCGAAGCCCCCTCAATTATACCAGGTAGATCCAGCAGTTGTATATTAGCACCATTATATGTGATGACTCCAGGGATACAAGTGAGAGTAGTGAACTCATACGATGCACAAGCACTCTGGGTCTTAGTCATCTTGCTCAGTAACGTAGACTTGCCCACAGATGGGAATCCTATCAGAGCTACTCTAGCATCACCTGATTTCATAACATCAAACCCTTCTCCTTTAGCTGCTGCTGACCCTTTAGGTGGTTCAAGGAGTTGTGCCCGATACTTGGCCAGTTTTGCCTTGAGTAAACCAAGATGGTATTCTGTCGCCTTGTTCTTCTGCGTGCGAGCAATTTCCTTCTCGATCTCACTTATCCTCTCTAGTATACCCATGGTTAATTTTTGTGAAGGAGAAAAGACGTTTAGAATAAGATTTTTAGAAAGATTTTAGTCAAAAAATGTCGGTTCTTATAGTCCACGTTGTACAAATATCCCACAATTCGTTACCAGGCTCTCTGGACTTCTGTTCCACAGGGTGACCAAGCACTGCAAAAAACACTCTCCTCAAATCCCCTCGACTTTGGGAAATTCTTATTTAATATCTATTTATAATAAATAATGAAGTTATTCTTAATCTTTACAGCAGAATGAATTAAGTAAGTAGAAATCTTAGAAACTCACTTTTGTAAGTCCATTAATTATTGATTGAAACAATGGGCCTCTCCACTCGAAAGTCAGAGCTAGGAGTTGCTTAGATTTGAAAATATAGTATAGTGTATATAGTGTGTGTTGGGGGAGGGAAGGGGGCTAAATCCCCTAATTCCATCCTGTCCCTGCTGTGAGTAATTTTCTTAGTCTTTTCACTTTATGAAAGATGTGACACCCTTTTCCACAAGCATCTCTCCATGATTTTATGACATTAATCCCAGCTTAGCAGTTGCATTTCATTCTCCACCCTAACCACCCCATGATCCTTTCCAGCTTGATGGCAAATAAGACCAAAACAAAATTGAAAACATAACTACAGAAAGCTTGCAAAGAATGACAGCATATCACGTCATCACTAAACCATAAATTGATAAACTCATTTAATTAATAGGAATTATTTGCAACAAATTTTACTTTCCTACTTAGTGTTGTAGAAGACTATGTATCATACATACTAATTGTCTTAGAAAAATATAACCACTATCATCCAAACCATCAGAAGCAGCTTCATTATTATTATCATCATTAACATCATTCTCCCCCACCTCGTCATCACCACCATCACCACCTCCTCATCAATGTCACTACCATCATCATTACTGCCATCACCATCAACATCACCTCATCATCATCATCAATGTCACAACCATCATCAATATTGCCATCACCATCACCACCTCCTCATTATCATCAATGTCACTATCATCATCATTGCTGCCATCACCATCACCACCTCCTTCTCCTTATCATCAAAAACCTAAGCTTCAAAACATGCAAAAGAATGTTTGATTAAAATTAATATTCCAGCTGTTTATTTACAACATAGCATGTAGCTACAATGTAATTCACTTTTAGGTAAAGTTGAATTATATGAAATTTCTTCTAACACCTTTCAAATACTTTGTACAATTCCGTTAGATTTGCTATTTGTAACAAAGTCCCATCCTCAGCAAATCTGGCAGGTGGAACAAGACCTGTGCGTAATGCTGGCGAGAGAACATGTTCCACAGTCCATTGCCATGAAGTACTGCTACTTGTATCATCATCCATATCTGGACTCTCATCGGGAGTGTCTTGATTGCTTTGTGATGTTAGGTCTGGTTTGAAGGCATAAAAGCTACTGACTTCTCTACTTAGTGTTTCAAAACACTCCTGCTCACTTTCCCATTCCACCTACAAAAATAAAGAATGGATTAGCTTACAGGTGCCATATTACATCAATAAATGGATGAGTTAAGTTAAGCATTGGTCTGTTGTATGGAAGGTCATGAGTTTCCACCATTGGTAGGCTTTCATAAAGGGTGTCAAAATATCTGAGTAAAACATGCTCCTTTTGCATTAAACAATATCTGCAAATGGTTATAATAAGACATTCATAATGACTCAGATGACCAAGTAACAACAACAACAACAACAACTTCTAGGTGTCTGGGTTTTGGCTTCTATCAAACAAAAAAATACTTGATCTACAGCTGTATAGAACTTTTTTTAACTTCGTTGTTTGTTGTGCACATTTCAGACCACATGATGCCATTCTTGGGAGTTGATTCTTTTATGTGTACATATTTTATTGTGTTTCGTCATAAGAACAATAGTTCCCTTCGCAGTTCCCTGCACTATCTTGAAAGGTAGCCACCGTTTGTCTCACTTCGATGCAAAGGCATGACTACCTTTCAAGATGGCGCAGGGAACTGTGAAAGGGACTATTCTCAAGGGAATGTCATCTAATCTGAAATAAGCAATTTGCATATGAAGCTAAAAGGGACTATTAAGTAAATGTGCCACATCTGCAGAGTTATGTGGAACAACCTTAACAGTAAGATACTTACCTCAGTGGATATTCTCAGAATAAACATAGGAAGACCATGCAGATTAGGAACATAGTTATCAAGTAACAGCGGCAGGGCACAAAGATTGCCATCAGAATCTATTTCAATGGAAAAATAATCCAACAGCATTTCAGCCTTTTTGGTGAGGAAATCTTTAATATAATTTGCAAGATCTTCCTTTGGTCCATCCTCTTCTGTCCATCCACTCTCCTCACTCTCCAATGCCAGCATTGCCAGCTCGTATATTGGCGCCACTTCAGATAGCTTGAGAAATCCAAAATCTCCAAATCTGAACATTATGATTTGATAAAAGAGTTCTTTGCTGAGTGTGACGATATTTGAAAGGTATAGTTTAGTATTGTGTTGGAGTAGCACAAAAGAGTGATTAACACAGCCAACAAATTTGTGATCTTCAAATAAGTCCTTTAGTCCTTGATGTTCGGCCTTGTCAATTGTCTTCCTTAAGTTTTGAATACTGATAAGCTGGACGTCTCTGCGATCTTGTTTCTTTTTGACTTTCATTGTTCTAGTTCCATCACTGTCTAACTTTGTTTTCTTATTTTCTGAAACACAAATAGTTTGTGATCAATGTTTGGTTCATGCCTCAACCTTTTTAGCTGGGAGTGGGAGGAATGATTTCTTCAGTAGTGCTGGGGATATACAAAATAATTATGGATACAACTCAAATAAGGAATCTTATTCTTATTCAAGTGGTATTCAAACATTCATTTGTTTGGTCATTCATTCATTCAATAATTCATTTATTCAATCAAGCATTCATTCATTTATATACATCCATTCATTAATTCAAACATTCATTCATTTTTTGTTCGTTCATTTGTTCATTCATTTATTCATTCAATCAAGCTTCCATCCATCCATCCATCCCTCTCTCCCTCCTTCCCTCCCCCAATTCCATATTCCATCCCTCCATTCATCCATCCACCCATCCATCTATCCATTCATTTATTCTGACAACATGTTACCTGGTGGAGACATTATCATGTCCTGATTATCTTGTGTCTTGTCAGAAGAAACTCCAGTGCTGCTACCTTCCATGTCAATATCTACCACTTCTGGTGTACCAGTACAACTAGCAGTAGCCTTTTCACTGGCACTGAATAAGATATCATAAAAGCAGTTAACACATCAGTGTTTCTAAAAGTAATACAGGGGTTTGGTTACACCCATGATTTGAAGCAAAAAAAAATTTTTTTTAATGGAAATTGAATTCCCTTGTTTTCCAAAAACATTTTAATATTAACATATTAATTTGAATGTGCTTAAAAATAATTTCTTCCGTACAACATATGCCATAAAAAGTTCATCAATCTACATTGTCAGAACTAGACAAGGATCACAGCCAAAAACAATAGCTGTTCAATTGCTGGGAATGACCACACAATGGAATGATAAACATTTGATCAGTCATTTATGTGGTTGGACAAGTACCAAACATTGGCCCAGGATTGTGTGTTAGCAGAGACAGAGCATTGATGATATTCAAGAATTTTCATGAATCATACAAATCAGATTTTAAAATTATTTACAAGCGTAAAGTTTTAGAAAATATTCATTTTCAATTCAGACATAATTAAAGTTGAAGTTAGTATAGCACTTTAAGTTATTATTCATTCTCCTAATAATCATAACCTTATCTCCATTTTCATTGGATCAAGACAGGTTGTGACATGGAAATTGGGCAATATACTAGCTCCCTCATCAATCAAATAAATATTTAAAAAGCTAAATGGTTCAGTACCTTTACTCCGATTTACAGAGCAGTGAACTAATTGCCCAATTTCCTGGTCGCAAATGTTGTCTCTATTAAAGCATAGCAATATAAGCAGTAGTTATATGAAATAACAAAGGCATATCACTGTGTACCTGGGTGTATCTTTGGGAGGAACAAAAGCATGGAGAGTTTGTTCCCTGCAATCAGTACGCACCATCTGATGTGCATACAATTTTGTGCTGCTATCAGCAGATTTGTTACTGTTGTCTGCAATAATAAAAAATAAGGGTATACATGAAATTAACAATAAGAACTGTAGCCAAAAAGGTTTAGGAGGCAATAGCCCATGAGGCTGAAAGTCGAAATGGCTATTGACCCCTATACCATGAGGGCAAGATATCTAATTGTTCTAGTATAAACCTACTTTATTGGTCATAAAAATGCATACAAAACATCTTGAAATAAGGTTCTCATTCTCATTAATAATTCATGAGTAAACCATCCAATCAATGGGCTATTTTTGGGTCACATGATGTTACTTGAAACCTGGTAAAGTCCTGTGAAAGGAATGCATTCAGTCTGGAGTAACTGGAACAAAATTAATTCAGTCCTAGGACTGAATTAATTTTGTTCCAGTTACTTTAAGTCGAATAATTAATGAGATGAGAAGTCATTTCAAAGCCTCCAATATCGGACTGGACGTGATTTCAAGTCTGCGCAGTTAGTACCAGTCCTCGCCTGCGCCTCGGACTGCAACTAATTGTTTAGACTTGAAATCCCGTCCAGTCCTCATCGTCGGCTTTGAAATATTACTTAAAATATTCTGTTTGCATAATTGTTTTTCAAAAACGACAGTGGTCTATCACTAATAGATCACTAACAGCTAAGCCAATCAGAGTGCGGGATTTTTGATAGACCATTAGTAGGCTTATGATAAATGAACAACAGCATTAGTACCACATACTTATCACTATCATACCTTTGGTCACATTCTCCACTGGTTCTGGTGCACCTGATATTAAAGCCTGTGTATAATATATACGTGAACTATTTGACCCTAAAAGTTTCTCTTCCACGACCTTTTGGACTGCCTCAATGATAGCCTCTTCATGTAGAAAATGGACCTCATGTTTAGTAGGATGGACATTAACGTCAACATTGTTTGGTGATATCTCCAAGCTCATATAAATAAAGGGGTGTGTCCCCTTTGGGAGATAAGCCTCATAGATGGTCTCTAGAGCCTTGCGCAGTGCTGTTGAGTCCACAAGACGATGATTTATGAAAAGGAGGAACTGTAACTTTTTAACAGAATAGTTAGCATTGGTTACATAACCCTTCATTTTGAAGCCAAGTTTAAGGTTGTCACAAACCACTTCAAGTAGTTCCTTAGCAACAGCAGCACCATAGATAGCACGGATGTTATCTTGGACAGAGGCGTTGGCTTGGGTGCGAACATCCGCTTTACTTTCGCCTTGTTTCTTACACGTGAACGCAACACCAGAGTTGTGAATGGCGTACTTACTAACCACATCAAGTATCTTCGCATACTCCTCTCCTGGACTCTTCAATGCTTTCCTTCTAGTAGCAACGTTATAAAACAAATCTTCCACTGTAATCTGTGTGCCTTTATTTCCAGCACAAGGCTTTGGATCAGCACTCATTCCTGGGCGAGGAGGAACAAGCTTCCCGTCAGAATAACAAGCTTTAAAAGCACAGTTCGAAGTGGCTGTCTTGGTTGTGATTGTAACGTGAGCGACATGGCTTATGCTCGCCAAGGCTTCTCCTCGGAACCCGTAAGTCGATATACTACTTAAATCCTCAAACTTACTTAGTTTACTAGTAGTAAACCGCTCACAGACGATCCCCATGTCTTCTTTCCGTATACCACAGCCATTATCCTGGATTTGAAGGAGTTTGAGGCCCCCAGACTTGACCGTAACTCCAACAGAACTCGACTTGGCATCTAAGCTGTTTTCTATCAACTCTTTGAGAGCATTAGCAGGTCTCTGGATCACTTCTCCAGCTGCTATTCTGTTCACAACTGTTTCGTCTAGTTTTCTAATGCTTGGCGGGAGAATCGTCGCCGCCATTTTTTCAAACCAGACGTCTGCAAACCTTCGAGCCAGCAGCATCCACAGGTATCCCAATCTGGGAATCTGTCACGAAGCAACTTGCACGAAGCAGCGGCGGGGGGGGGAGGAGGGAATTAATATATGTATACCGTATTTTTGCCGCTTGATTGTCGTGTCTTTTGTATATTTAGTACACTTCCTTAATCGAAAAATACCACAGTATTTTTGATATATGAATGTTTTTTATCAGATTTTATTTTTGCCTAGCACTTTCATTTAAATTGGGTTACCTGTGCTTTCCATAAGTTCTTGTTCCTGCTATGCTATAAGCTCAAGAGAAAGCAGAACCCCTGAGAAATAAATTAACTTTGCCCAGCAAAGTTAGGGAAGGAATCGACAATAAATGTTAGACCTAGCTAGGTATTATTTCAGTTTGGGGCCACGGAAGCCAGTTCTTTGAAAAAGGCTAGCCGGCTTGGAAACGGCGCTCTCTGGCGCACGGGGGCTTGGGGGAGACAAACCCCCAATTCCGGAGGGCCGTTTCGCAGGCTAAGAAAGGGGTATATGGATCATAAGCCTAATTGAAATCATTCGGGACTTTCGTGATAGTCCGCAATGATATCGACTTTGGGAAAGTTTCAGGATCTGTTAAAAAAAGATCTAGATATACCTATTCAATACCTTGCCATAAAGTTTTTATAGTTACACATCAATCAATAGATCTTGTAAATGAGTATCATAGTGATCGCACCGTACCGTGTACATAAGGATTATTGCGAATCAATACGCCCTGACATTAACAGTGAACTTATTCAACGAAATTATAATTTTATCTGTGCTTAACAACCCATGAAATTAACACAATTTTTAAATGATAATGATGACAAGCATTTGGTCCATTACTGACCACTTTTTTCGGTATAACACAGAATAGATTACGATCAGTTTTTGCCGGCCGGTATGATTGGGTAACGATGCAGTAAATTCTTTTCCAAGTCGTTCTTTAGCCGTACTATAATCTTACCGTAGTCGTAACTTTACCCGTCGATTGATGGATTATTATTGGAAGCCATTGCAGTGTAACGGTACATGAGAAGCTTAGGCCGGCTAAAAAACTTTATGCTAATTAGGTTAAGATGGACTTATTCCATCTTAAGCTAATTTGCATATGTTATTTTTTTACCTATTTTAACACTATGCCGACACCTCTGTACCACTCTAGTAGGAAACTCTGTTTATTAACGAGCATTTGTTGACAGGCAATGTTCAGACATTATTTGAATGTGGTTCTACGAATTACATTTATTTAAGGCGAACCGTATAGGATTTCCTGAGCTTGATGCCTTTGTAAATAAAGTTTTCGCGAAACAGTTTCCAGAATGTTGCAAAGAAAAGATTAAAGAAACAAGTTAAAATAAAAATGAAAAATGAAGGAGCTCGTTTCAGTTCATAACTTTTATTACGGCAACACCGAATAAAGTTACAGTAAAAGAGCAGGCCAAAAAAAAACAACATTAACAACAAAACACAAAGTTTTCAATTTGGTTACCTTATCGTCATACTGTACAGAGCTCTTAGTCTTATTACTGCTATCAAATGATCAATGCGATTGGGCCTGTAAAACGCCGAAATTGTATAATATCTATGACGTATTAATATGGATCTCTACGGCCCAACATATCTGGAACATAGCTATTTTTGCTTCAGTGAGTCAATTGAATACTCAGATATAAAAGTATCCAAGCTCGGTCTTTCCGAAGGCTTGCTGGAAATAGCTTTGTCGATACTTTCCGAGGCGTAACAACAGCATCTACTGCTGACGAAACGCACCATTTTTGCGAAGGAAAAAATATCGCTACTTGTGGATGGTTTTCCTGTACCGTCACGTACTTCAGGCGCAATGTACGAATCCTTCCATTCTCTGTTGTGAAAGGACTGCTTTCGGGGCTTTGCTTCACTAGCTTTTACGCTTTGTCCAAAATCAATAATAACAGGATTTAGGTTTGGCTCCAAGATAACATTGTTTGCCTTTAAGTCATTGTGAATTACACCACAGTTGTGAACATGATTTAGTGCTATGGCAGTCAGACACAATACGTTACGCCACGATTTTTCGTCAAGCAGCGTTTTGTTTTTGGTTGCACTATAAATTGTTTCGCTAGTGTTATTGTTTTTGTCGCCATGAAACAGTAAAATAAGCCTTACAGGCTTCGTTAATGAACATAATCCAAATAACAGAGGTACACCAGGATGATCATGTAATGACAGAATCATTTTAGCCTCTTTGTATGCCGACTTTTTCAAAGTTGCCAGGCTTTTCATTTCACGGTGGTCATGGTACTCCTTGACAGTTACAGATATGTCACGATACTTAGCTGCGTAGCATTTACCAAAAGTACCACTAMCTAAGATCYGCTCATCGTTATCTCGAACTAATAAACTGGAATCTAGCTCTCTGACACTTTGTTCATGATGGGCTTGTTTTTTCCTTTTCTCTGCCAAAGAATTTTCATCTTTTGGTGACTGGGCAGCACGCTTATGTACCMTTTTATCRCSGGAAATGCTTTTTTCTGTTTTCGAATTCSRTCCAATGGCCGCCTTMAGCAATGATTTCCCCCTTGACTCAGGAACGTGAATAATGTTACTTTGATGCGGTGGGGTAGTTTGTGAAGAGGCATTTTTTATCTTTGCTTCCAGCTCAGCGGGAAGAATGTCCATTTGATTCGATACAGTAGTTTGTGAAGATACAGCTTTGATTGCCACGTGTTTACTGTCTTTGCTCTGTATTTTCAATTGACAGTGCTCAGCGCGTTCTCTGCGGATTCGTTCTTTCTTCCTTCCTTTCCACATTCGCTTTTTATATCGACGAATGGACTTCAGTCGTTGTTTCATATCTGTTATATCTTGTTCATCCATTGAAAGCTATACTGTCCAGCAGATGAGGCAACTATTGCGCAAGCAATTCCGACCGGAGTTAATATTTGCTAAGGTACAAAGGTCTATTTATTCTCGATAAATAAAACTATAAACAGAACTGTCAACCATGAAGCGCGCATGAGAAAAACAACTAAAGTGAATTTGTTGCAATGTGGATGCCGGGTTAAAAATAACGCTAGTGCAATTGAGAGCTATATAAAAGCTGATAAATTACGATATACAACACCAATAAAGTTTTTTTGTTGACAAAGTATATTTATGAGATACAATTTTTTTGAGAGAATGACTTAAGTTCCCAAGCTAACTTGAATGACTAGTTTAGTGTAAACAAGTAGTTACATGTAATAGCAAAGTTAGGATTAAATAAGACTATTGTTAGCTGTTACGATCCAAGCAGGCATCAAACACTGACCGGAAGTGTACAGAAGTTACAGATATTCAAGTATCCAAGCAACTCT